ATGCAGCCTTTACCTGAAAGGGCCATTTTTCCTTGCAGCCCTGGTGTCATTTTCTTGGTATAAATAACATCCCAAAGCGTGTCTCATGAGCCTCTGGCTGCCAACTTCGGTCTGTGTGTGGTCCCACAAGTCCTATCCAGCAGTTGTGTTCATTAGCAGAGCTAACCTCGAGCTGGTGCTGAAGCAGAATGTCTGACCCTCAGCCTTCACCAGCCTGGTCTGGATTTCCTCCCTTTCATCTGGGAAATGTAGTCATGAAACCACTTGCCCTTAGTGCTAATTATAGCATAAGCTCCTCAGGGAAGGGACGGTCATTTACTATATGTTCATCCTGCATCTAGCACAGCGGCACCCAGAGATGGTGGGCCTTGGGCTTCAGAGATGTTTAGGTGAGTTAACCTGTGCAAACCCATTACTGTCAGTGGGATGGGGGTAGTGTAATTTGGCTCTAAAGAAGCCATTGTGCTTTTTGTATGAGAAGGGGAGGGGATGGGTGTCCTTGACCAAAACGCCCCTCCTCTTACTCCCCTTGTTTGCCAGCCCCGGAGGTGGCGGCAGGTCAGGGGTGCTTTAGGTTGGAAAGGACTGTGGACCCCTGTGGAAGGAAGGTTACTACAGAACGGCAACATGAGCTCTAATGCTGAATCCAGGTCCCACTGATGTGAACACTGTAACGGCCCTGGCTCTTAGCGAGCAGGAAGTCTGTGCTGCTCTCTCACACCCGTACAGCTGGGTGGATATTAGTTGATTTGCAATGGTCTTGCCTTAGTTTTTAATACACTGACTTCACTGAGTTTCATGTGCACCGTGCCTGGGGGGTGGGTGTCCCATTCCTTATTGAGGTCAGTGGAGTTACTGGGGCACTCCACGGGGTGCACTGAGTGCTGTTCTTGCACTTCCTTTCACACACTGTTGTAACCAAAGGATTAGGCAGACAGCCCAGGGCCCGCCTAGGAACCCACGAGAGGCTGCAGAGGTGGCTACAGTCAGACTGGACCCACAGTGCAACAGGGCTGAAGCCTGTTGTTTTCCATTCCAGTCCCTGTGAAATGATCCTTCTCTTTTCCGGAGGAGGGGCTCTACTGCTTTGCTCTCCAGAGTGTCTTCTCTCCCCCCTCCACCCCTTCTCCCAGCGCTGGAGAGACACAAACAGCCGTGTGTGTGTGTGTGTGTGTGTGTGTGTGCACAGAGGCAGCCCGGCAGTTGCACATTCCTTCCATTCATGGTCTGGTTTCTGAAGGCTGCTGCTACATTGGTTTAACTGGAGTCAACCTCAGGTGCGTCTCCAAGCTTGCATTAGAGGGGCTGCAGGGTGTGTAACAAGCCATCCACTCTGCCAAGGGCAGCTACAAACCACTCCCTGGAGCTTCCCCATAAATGTAGGGCCTGGGGTTAGCTCCTGCCTCCCTCCTTTGGCTCCGGTCCCTGTTTTCCTGGGGTGGGGGGGAGAGAATCAATGTTTCCATCTTTTCTTGCTTTCTCCTGTCTCTCTCGCTCACACACACACTCCCCCCCCCCCGCCCCAGCGTCAAGCAACAGATTATTGCCAATTCCCCCCCACCCCTCCTTGCCAAGTCCCCTTTGATCCACCTTCCCTTCCCCTGTTGTCTGACAGCCCCGCGCTCACAGCCATGCACATGCCCACGGTGCAGCCAGCCAGAGGGGGACGGGGAACGTGTGTCTGAAACCACCAAGAAGCCATTAGGCAGCTGACACCGATGCATCTTGGCTCCCGCGTGTAACGAGCTCCCCGAGCCCGGCTCTCTCCCGCTCCAGCCAGGGCTCAGCTCCAGGACTCGGGGGTTTCTGTGCACGGAGAGGAGGCAGCCAGGAGAGCCCCCCGGCCCCGTATCTTCCCCCTGGGTTCGGCTCCGGACTGGAGGTAAGGGGCCGGGCGGGGGAAAGTTTCCCGGCGGGAGCTCTGAGCGGGGAGGGGTCCGGGGCGGTTCTGCCCGCCTGTGCCCCGGTTCGCTGCTGTTCTCCTGCCCGGGGCGTCGGGCTCCAGCTGCCGCCGGGGCTGCGGGGCAGGCGGTGGGGCTGGGCTGGAGAAGGCGCCGCACGCCCAGACCTCGGGGCGGGGGCGGCTCCTTCCCTGCTCTGGGGCCGCGCAGGGAGCGGCGGGGTCGGCGCCCCCGTTCCTGGGCTGAGCCCTGAAGCCAGTTGGGGGGAGCCGAGCCCCCACCCTGGGGTGTCGCGTTCGGGGTGCAGGTGGGAGAACAGCGGGTTCCAGACCCCGCTGGGCGGGGTCAGTCCAAACCCGTCTCCTCTGGCTGTTGTTTTATCTTACACGTAAACCCCCCCCCCCCCCCCCCCCGCCCCCCATGGTCTGCCTGTCCCGGGGGGCAGCCCCTCTCCCGGAGCGGATTGTGAAGCGAACTCCGGAGCCGCGCCTGTTTACAAGTGGCGGGGAGGTGGCTGGCGCTGCCCTGCTCCAGGCGACGTGACCTGGGAGTTAACTACATGGGAGCAGCCAGAGCCTTGCTGGCCATGTGTCGTGCCCCGACAGCCCGGCCATTTACAGCCCCTGCCCCTCCCTAGCCCCCCGTCCAGCCTGCAGCCTGGCCCCCCATGTGCCCTCCCACCAGAGATCCCCCCGGGCAGAGCTCCAGCCCCCCCTTTGGGAGGCTAGGGGAGCATGCATTGTGCTTCCCCCACCCCTGGCTGGGAGTTGGGGGGCATGCACTGACCCCCGTCCCTTCGCGGGGCATGGCTGGGAGGCGTGCAGCCCTCCCGCTGCCCCCCTGTCTGCAGGGCAGTGCTTTGTCAGCAGCTTGGCCTGGGCTGGCCCAGGAGGGCGCCTGGTGCTTGGAGCCGGCGGCCGCAGGAGCCCCAGTGTTCACGGGGCCTCCCCCGGCTGCCTCCCACCCAGGCACTTGTTGGCGCTGCGTGTGCACATGTCTCTGTCTCTTCTTTTCATTGTGAGTCCTTCCATTCCAGGCACGTGACCTGCCTTGTAGTTGCCATGCCAACTCCCTGGTACCATGGTTCCCCCTCTCTCACATGGTTGCCTGGATACCAGTTATCCCTGCCTGGTCTGGAAGGATGCTCTTGTCTTGCGTGCTCCCCTTCTCCCCTCTTTCACAGGCAGCCACACAAGCGTGTGCACACCCGTACAACCCAAGGGCAGAGATACCTTACGGATATCAGTGCTAGGTGCATAGTCTCAGGCATCCTCTAGTGCACACATACAGTGTGATCCGCTTCCATACACTCATATGAGCATGTGCACACAGTCGCTCTCACAAACAGTCACCTTGCACAGTCTGTCTGTCTGTCTGTCTCTCTCTCTCTCTCTCTCTCACACACACACACACACACACACACACACACACACCCCTTGTATACTCATCCAGACACATGCACAGACAGCCTCCAATACACACGTGCACACACCTCTTCTCACAATCACAGACATCAGTTACACACTCTCACATCCACTCACACACACGTTCCTGTATGCACAGCCACATCTGGAAAGCAGTCCTTTTAATCTGATTTTAGAAAAAAAAAAATCCCCCTTGTTCAATTGGGTGTTGTAATGCACGTGGATTTGGAGAAGAGCAAAGGAGCATCTAGTTGTGTATATCAAAATATTTTGAAATACATTTTCTTATGTTATTAAATATTTTAATAAAGCTGCAGTAATATAAACAAATCAAACACTTTATCCTGCAGAGGAAAAGGGAGGCCCTATCCATATCTAGCTATATCTTCAAGTAAAGAGTCCTGAAAATTGTAATCTGACTCCATCCAATGGAGTTCAGATCCTGAAGGAGTGATTTGCAGGAGGGGCAGTGACAGGTGGCATATCTGGATCTGTATAAGCTTTACAACATGAAAGAGCAGCCTCTGAAGAAATGTTTTCAAAGCTGCATGCGGATTATGACTTACATGAGATTCCCTTGTACCATTTCAATGTACACCACCTGTTTGGAGGTGTCGTTGTGCGCCCTGTTCTCAGCTCGTCATGAAATTTCTACTCCTGTAGGTTGTTTTCACTAACACCTAACTCTGTGTTGAAAACAAAAAGAAAACCTTATTAAGCAGAGGGAAGCTCCAGAGAATTAAATTCCTTTTCCCATATGGAAAATGTTTCTGCAGAAATAACAGCGTGGCTTTGAGTCGAGCAGCAGGGGAACAGTAGCTGAGGAATGACAGATAACATTTTAGATTCACAGCTGTTCTAGACGCTGCAAACCAAGGACAATAGTTGCTAATTCCAGGCTGAGGGGACATGTATAAAACAACATCAGTGTTATGATGTCTTCTGTAGACTCGCTGAGGAGTCTGACTGATGTGGGGTGAGTTGGTTGCCATCTTTTTGCTATGAGATTTGTGCTTTACTTTTAGGTTTTAATTACGTGTGATTGCTTGACACATCTCGGCCTGGATAAAATATCGCACATAGGTGTGAATTTGTCAGTAGTTTAAACTTCTGTAATGGGGACAACTTTCAACTTCCATGGAGGATAGGTTCATCAATGGCTATTAGCCAGGATGGGCAGGGATGCAAAACCATGCTCTGAGTGTCCCTAGGCTCTGTTTTCCAAAAGCTGGGAATGGGCGAAAGGGGATGGATCACTTGATTATTACCTGTTCTGTTCATTCCCTCTGAAGCACCTGGCACTGGGCTACATGGACCATTGGTCTGACCCAGTATGGCTGTTCTTATGTTCTTAAATATGTCAAACTAGAAACTTAAATCTATTCCTCCCTCATGGTGTTTCTTTCCATAATTGCAAATTATTCAAGGACTGGTTCTGGCACTTGCTCAAACGGGGGCATGAATAAGTGCTACTCCTGAGGGCATTCTGTGCCAAATTTTTAAAATTCTGTAAAATTCTGCAAATTTTATTTGTCAAATAAATGCAGAGGATCCAACCTGGCATTGGGGAGCACAGGCCACGGGATGCACAGAGATGGGAGATCACGGTGCAGCTCCTCCCCGGGACATGGACTCAGCGGTGAGGGGCACCCACCCCTGACACAGCACGAGGACCAGAAACACTCCAGGGCCCTGCATCTCCATGCCAGGGGCACCAGGTGTGGGCAGGCAGGCTCGGAAAGGCAGGATTCAAGTGTGGAGGGGGTTAGTGTGGGGGGATCCAGGTGTGGGTTGAGAGGGTTCTGTGTGGGGCAATCTGGGTGCGGGTGGCTCAGTGGGGGATCCGGGTGCGGGGGGGATCTGGATGCACAGGGGCTTGTTGGAGGGTTCTGGGTGCAATGGTAATGGGACTCTGCAGTGGGGTCCAGGTGAAGGTGGTTGGGGCTCAGCAGGGGGGGTCTGGGTGTGGATGACTCAGTGGGGGGTCCAGGTACTGGGGGAGTGGGGCTCAGTGGGGTGGGGTTCCACGTGTAGCTGGTTGGGGTTCGGTGGGATGGGAGTCTGGGTGCAGGTGGTTCGTCAGGGTGGTCCAGGTGCAGGGGACGTGGGGCTTATCGGGGGGAGGTGTTTCTGAGTGCGGGGGGTGAGGCTCGGTGGGAGGGTCTGGGTATGAGTGGGTCTGGATGCATGGGGGTTCGGCACATGGGGGAGCAGCTCCCTGTTCAGGGCTCCCTCTCCCTGCAGCTGAGGAGCGATGGATGCAGGAAGCAGGGGTGGAGGGAGTTTGCAGAGATTCCTGCAGCTTGGGGAGAAATCTGGGGATGAGTCCGACCCAGCCCCTGATGCTGTGCAGGGGAAGAGGAAGTTCCGTCCTGCCCAGCTGGGATTAGCGGCTGAGCCCAGCGCAAGGGTAGGAGTCACCAGCCGGGTCTTCCCCACTCCTGCCCCTACCCCACAGCGATTTACCTCTCTGCCGGCTGCCCGGCACCTGAAACATACTGCTCGGGAGGGTCGCTCTTGTGGCTTCCCTTTGCTTCCCCGTCAGAATTCATTTTTCTGCGGGGAAGCAAATAAAACTGTGGGTGACATAAATTCTGTGCATGCGCAGTGGTGCAGAATTTTCCCCCCAGGAGTACAGTGCAAAGCATGAATATAATCAGAACCAGCTAGAAGAACTCAGGAATGAGGAGATGCGTCGTGTGTATCTGTCTCTATGCTGGCTGTGCTGCCATTAATGCTAAGGATATGGAGTGGGGACTTGTCTCTCTCCTCTGTCTGGTTTTATGTACATGCAGTTAAAAGCAACCATTCTTTTTAAAATGAGAGCAAATTACTTTGGAGGGAGTGGCAAGAATGTGGATTCTTTGACAGGCTGTTGACTAAGACAGTATTCCAATATTGTCAATATCAGCAAGAGGGTAGAACTAGCATACCTTACGCCTTTACTTCACTGCTTCCCAGGACATAGATATTACAAACCAGATCATATCAGGTAACATTTATTAGTATTATTTATCCATTGTTGCATGATACCAGCAGTTCCTGGCCCAGAGAACTCGCCATCCAGGCTCTAGCCAATATGCAACCGATGAGTAAACAGATACATGGGGAATATCAGGAAAAGGTAGAGGCAGTAGAGGTGTATTTGTGTAAGATAGTCGTTACAGTGGTCTCGATAGGTGTTAAACAAACGAATAGAGGGAACATTTATGAAAAACAACCTAAACAGATTCTCCACTTCCCAGCAGCAAATTGTACAATGTCTTGGTTTGGCTTCGTCGAGAGGCAAGTTTTATTTGTCCTGTTCCTCTCCCTCGCAGTGGACACTGTTATTTCCCAGCCTGGCTTGCTCCATGCAGCCTGCTGTTAGCACAGCGATAATCCCATTTGAGATGCTCCTCGGATAACAGACTAGCTTGGCTGTTTTCGGTCTGCCAGGTTCTACGTTGTGAGATGCACGTCATGTTGACGAGCTGAGGACTGAGGGCCAAGTCAAATACCTCCACACTGATTTGGCAGCCGTTCCTTGATGTATTAGGACATGATTGCCGGGAGCCAGGGGAAAAAACCTGCAGAAGACTTGTTTTGTGCGATCTTATTAGAAAAGGATAGGGCTCAGGGCCAGGGGAGGAGGAACAGAGTCTCATGGTAATTTTGTCCCGTGTGATCTGTGATCATTCTTGTGATCTCATTGTTCTTGATTGACCCTAATCACAAGTAATCCATGCGGCTTCTGGTGGCCTCTGAGATTAGATCACTCAGTGTATTGAGGTTTGGATCCCGGGGTCTCCTGAAGAGCACTAGGATTCCTTTGAGCAGCCTCTGCTTTTGGCAGCTATCCCAAGCCTGCAAGTGACAAATTAATCTTAGCAAAAGCTGTCTTGTGTCTCCCATCCTACCAGCACATGAATCAGCGCAGACCTGGGAAGTTATGGGTGGTGTCTTGCATGTTACAAGGGGGTAGGCTGGAAATCTACCATTTAGGAACAAGAGACATAATAACAACAATTGCATGAGAAGCCAAATTGATGCTGAAGTGAAATGGCAGAAGAGCACATACATGCATAGCTGCAAATGTCCGTTCCCACACGTACACTCGTACTTCCTTCGGGCAACTGAGCAGCCCTGTCAAGGGCTCTGGGGCTTTGTGGGGAAATTGGAGATTTTAACTCGGTCTGAGCTTTGGGAGATGTCCCGAGGACTCTTGAAGGAAGAAGGTGACTGCCCAGCGTTAATTCTGATGGCTGAGACTTGACGGGCTGATCTATTTGAAACAATTAAAAATAAGTGTTTAAAATGCTTTTCAAGTCTCTTACAAATCACCTGTCTTGTTCTTGAGGCGTTTTCAGTGTTGTTAAGAGGCTAATCAGCCTGCAGAAGAGATGGTGTTTGTCTGTCTGGCTTTCACCCCTCCCCGTCTCAGTAACGCGAAGAGAATGAAAAATTACAAGGGGGATTTTTGAGGAGAAAGAAGGAAATGGGGAGAGAGGTTTATGACTTTCAGTATGTTCGGTATAGGGCTGTTCTGAGGGTGGCATGTAGGCTAGAGGTACAGAGAGCGCAGTGAGCCCATGATCATAAAGTTGAAAATATCTGCCTTCCTTGGGCGTGGTTTGGTGTGGTTGTGTGAGAGGCGGGGTAGCGTGTATGTGTGTACTCTGGCCTCCGTCCCATGTAGGCTTGTGCCTCTAATGCCAGCTTTCCTGGAGGCCTGAACCAAAGTGCCAGAGCTGAGAAATGAACGGCGTGGAGGAGACATTGGGGTTCTAACCAAACCAGCCTCTAATTCACAGCCTAGCTCTGAGCTGGAGGCACTCTCCTCCTGACTCAGCCATCCCTGTCTTCAGAGACACCCCAAGTCCCAACAAACGCTCCTCTCGTTTGCACCAGCGGAACCCAGCTGCCTTCGGTGGGAACGCACTGGCGGAGCAGACACGCTCGGCACCTTGTGTTGCCATTGGCGTGAGTGCAAAGTGTGCACAAATCGGAATGGCAGCGTTTACACGCGCTCTGCCCTGACTTTGCATTGGTGCAGATGATGACTCCCATGCCATGTGCTGGGATGAGAGCCCCCTCGCTATGTGGCCATGAACAGCTGAGCTGCAGGAAGGACGTTGCAGACATAACACACGTCCTCCCCTCCTGCTCCCCATTAGCCTTCTGCTGCCACACAGCCTCTTCGAGCAGATGCTAGGTAGTGATTTCCCCTCTGGCAGGGGAAGATTGTGCAGCGTGGAGATAACCTCTCGCTAGTGCTGTCCTCTCCCTGAGAGATGAAGGGTGACTAGGAACTGGAGGTTTACCTGTACAGGCAGATAGTCCTTCCCCGAGAGCCAGCCTGAGCCTACGCGCATTGCATGGAGTGACACGCCTAAGAGTGTATTTATCACTTGGGTTATGGTAACACCCAGAAGCCCTAGCTGAGTCAGGGCCCCTGGCCCCATGTGCTCTGTAGACACCCCCTGCTCTAAAGCACTTACAAAGGCAGGACTGTTCTCCCTATTTTACAATTGGGAGAGAGGCACAGAGAAGACTGTGACTTGCGCAAAGTCAAGACTGTGACTTGCGCAAAGTCACCCAGCGGGTCAGGGGCAGGAATCGAACCCAGATCTCCCGAGTCCCAGTCCAGTGCTGCTCACAAGGCCACGTGCATCCTTCCACACCCTGTTGCTTTGTGATCTGGAGGCCGAGTTTGAGAGCGGATAAATTCCAGGCCTGGAGGCTGAGTGGTTCAGCATGAGGAGGGAGCCAGGCCTCTGCCAAGTAAACAGCCACCAGTGGTTGGTGCTTTGGTGCCTCTTGCTCTAAAGCCAGTGAGAAAGCAAGGCTGCCCAGGCTGGAGGCTGGTAGGTCCCTGCGTAGCTGGCCAGGGCTCTACACTGCAGCAAGGGGAGGGGCTCCTGCAAATGTCAGATTTGAAGAAAACTCAAGTGGGGCCCAATAAACAAAGCCCTCCTGTTTGGCCTATGATTTGTTCACCATGTGGCCAAGCTTTGTTTCAGCAGCTCAACTCTTGACCCTGCGTTAGCACGGGGTTGGATAACATACACTGTGTGGCCTGATGTGTGACTAAGGCTACTGCAGCACAAAGGAGAGTAATGGTAATGACCCAACAAGCACTGTTGATCTCTCATTTCTGTGGTGAATGCTATCACAAGGGAGTGTGAGATTTTTTTGAAAGTAGGGCAGACAGCATGGGGAGGCTGTGTTGTCTTGGTCACAGTAACTAGGGATTGGAAGCCAGGACTCCAGGGTCCTATTCCTGATTCTGCCACTGACATGGTGTGTGACATTTGAACAAGTCGCTTCACTTCCCTGAGCCTCAGTTTTCCTCATCTGTATAATGGGGATAATGGTACTTACTGGCCCTACAGGGTATCCTGGGAGTCGTTGGCAAAAGATGATGAAGAAAGGTGAGTTACTATGATTTAATATTAACAGCAAAGCAAACAAACCCTCTCGCCCCTTCCAGAGAAACAGGCAGGATCTTCACTCCTGGGGATTTTAGGGGGAAGTCGCTATCGCAATGAGTGTCATGGAAATAGCTAAATGAATGAAAAGGTCGTCCGGATTACTGGTGATTGGGCGTGGTGAGCACAGGGGAAGTTGGTCCTTACAAATGCTGGCTGTAGTGTCACACTGCAAATGGAAGGGCCTGATGCAAAGGCCACTGAAGTCAACAAGAATCTTTCCATTGGCTCCAATGGGCTTTGGATTA